ACGTTCTCAGCCTTGGTTTCTTCATTTGTTTAAAAAAAAAAGGGCGTGACTAATATTTCTATTCACTAATTCACGAAATTAGGTTTGGACTTTGGAAAATTATGAAGCACTACAGAACTACGCTCGACTGACATCCAAGAAATATTAAAATAAGGTAGCCAAGACCTCTAGCACATGGGGTGGATCTTCCATGGAGGCTTTAAGGAAAGATAAGGATGAGAAACGCACAGGATGAGAGGGTATAGAGGGGGTCTACTTGGTGCCAGTCAAGGGAAACCCCACACTAACAGGAGAGTAATAGAAATGGAGCTGATATCCTTATTATTATTGCCTGTCAATACTTCAAAGACCTGTGATTTGGTGAGTGTGGGAATGCCTTCCATCAATGTAGACTGCAAAACAACTACAACTTATACTCCTAGAGGGTTGTATGAGGCTCAGGGAAGTGTTAGAAACAGGATCAGAAGCCAGGTCTTCTAGGCTCCCAGTTTAGCATTTAATCCATGATGTCACACTGCCACTCTCATTATTTTTGTACAACAATGAAAAAAAATGCAGTTGCCAGTTAAAAACCTCACAGAGTTCTAAGAATTGATTCCAATCCTCTGGGTTTATCACTGTGTAGTCCTGTCACATCCCCCAGTGCCTTTATCTGGAAGATGAAGGGGGAGGATTCCTACCAGTTTTCATAGGTTAGGCCTTAAGAGTCTATGTTCTTTTTTTTTTTTTTTTGGTTAGGCAATGGGGTTAAGTGACTTGCCCAGAGTAACACAGCTAGTGATGTTATGTGTCTGAGGCCACATTTGAACTCAGGTCCTTCTGACTTCAGGGCTGGTGCTCTATTCACACCTAGCTGCCCCCAAGAGTCTATGTTCTAAGGTCTCTTTCAATTATAACATTCTATGAGTCTAAGAGGGTGGTAAAACCAAGATGGGAAACTAATGTTGCCAATGCTAAAGAGAGCTTGGTTGTTTAGTCTCAATTCTATATTGGGATAGGAAGAATTTCTCACCTAGTTCCTTAAAGGGTTCACGTCAATATGCAAAAATTGAAAAAGCAACATGTCTATTTTGTTGCAGAATTCCAGCCCCCTTTTCACCCATGGGGGCTGGGTCATAAATCTTCCTTCGAACATGACTTAATGGTGAGAATTTGATGTTAAAGGGGTGAAAGCTGGACAATGGCTATTAATGAAGTATGGCTGCAGGGTCTCAGTCTTTCCCATACCACAGATGTATGTCATTATGTGTTTCATTACCAGCAGTCTGCTCATAGGGTGAAGTAATAGGATCACAGGATTTAGACCTTAGAGATCGACTATTTTAACTACCGTATTTTATAAATGAAGACTCAGGCCCAGGAAGATAAAGTGACTTGCCCAAAGTGACACAGCAAGGAAGGGACAGAGTGGAGATTCCAGCCTAGGTGCCCTGACTCCAAAGCCAATACTGCACTGTTTTTCCTTGACCTTCAACCAGTCCAACCTTCTCATTTTAGATGAGGAAACAGAAGTCAAGTGGGAGGAGGTAGACTTTATCAAGGGTACAAAGGCAGTATTCTGACTCTAAATCCATTGTTCTTTTCTCAATTCCAGACCACAATCACAGAATCTAATTTGGAAAGGACTGGAGGGGTCATCTAGTCTAACCTATGCTTGAGGGGGGATTCCCTGTAAAACATCTGCGACAAGCAGACATCGAGCCACTCTTTGAAAGCTCAGTCCATGTGCCAAGTCTATCATTCAGAGACTTTTGGAATATGGAGCTAATAAAACGAGGGTTGCTTTGCTTATGGTGTCCACCAGAGTGGCCTGACAACAATTTTCTAGACAAACAATACAGACTAGTACCTTAGAAGGTTCTTCAGTCATTTGTTTTTTGTTTAAAGATTTTCCAAGCCTGTCACATGACAGACAGAGAAGAGCTTTAGCATCTTCCCAACACTAATGCCAACAAAAATATAGCTATTTCATAAAGATCTCAGGGTATTTTCACAATTGCCTTATTTTTGTTCTGGCTTCAGCAAGACTAGGAAGCAGCACACTTAGGATGCAAGAGATAAAAACAGGGAAAAGAAAATATATTGCAGAACTCAAAAATCTTATCTATTTTCAGCCTGTGTCTTCACAATAATTCATTCAAGGAGGCTCCAAGAATAATTTTTGATGTAAACTCAGCTACGAACATACATCACTGAGCTGATAAGAATCACAGACTAAACTTATGAAATATAGTGAGGTTCATTCCTTTCATGGTGTTAAAATAACTTTTTTCAAAGGTTCAACAGATACAAAAGATAAAAAAGGGTTATCATTAATCCTCAAAAAAGGTCCCATAAATTCATTCAGTGGGCTGATGATGGTTTGAAGATGAACTTTTTAGATTTATTCACTGAATTAATTTGATAAAAGTACTGGAAGCCATAAAATAAAATAAACCACACAGCACACAAGCTGATTGGTTTAAATGTCTCTCTGTTTTGGTGTGGTACAAAATAATTCATTCTGAACCTATTGATTTAAAAACTCCCACCTCATCTAATAAAACATTGTAGTCATGGCAGGTAGTATGGTATAGTGGACTTGAGAGTCAGGAAGAATTGAGTTCTAAGTTCAAAACCCAGCTATGACATCAACTGGTTATATGACCTTGGGCAAATCACAACATTTCCCTAGGGCTGATTCCTCCTCATCTGTGAGATGACAATAGGGTTAGACGAGATGATCTGTAAGGACTCTTCTAGTTTTAGTGTACTTCATATGAATTCTTCTCCAATCCTTCCAAAGGCCTGATATTTCAACAGTGAGCATGCTCTTAACGGTGGGGAAAAGAGTCTTCATGAGAGGCCAAAGACGCCCCAAACAAACCCATGTCCTGGTGATGCTGAGCTTCCCAATGCTTAGCTAGACAGGTTATCAGTCATTCATTCATTCATTCAGTACACGGCCTATTGGTAGACCTGTCCTTGACGGTGTCCAGAGAGGCAGGACTTGCTGATACTTGTGCTCTAATAATTCAGGAGCACACTGAAGTTCCCCTACATGCTAAGGTCAATTTACCTAAAATGTAAGTCTATTAAATATGTATTTCTTGTGGAAATGAAATGACAACATGATCCCAATACATATGGGATACTCTTCACTCATTCTTTTTCCATCATCTCTAACCTTTTTGCCTTCACCCAAAACTGCTGCTAGATGAGAAGGGGTAAAATATACCCCCAAACTTGGCGTAGTTTTGTAGAAAAGTAAGAAAGACCTCACAATGTAGCAGGAAAAAATTACTGACCTTGGTGTCAGATAACTTGGATTTGAAATTTAGTTCTGATTCTTACTACTTATGTGACTTTTGGGCAAGTCACTTTCTCTGAGCCTCAGTCTCCTAATCTGAAAAAGGAAGGGGTCTGCAGAGATGAACTCTAAGTAAGATTCTTCCAGACATAAATCCTATAATCTTAAATAATTTCAATTCCATGAACCTGTTTTTCATTATCTGTAAAATGGAAATAATGCTGACTTACAAATCCTATTTCACATGGATATTGCAGGGTGAGTGCTTTGTATACCATGACATACCACAGAAATGGGAGCTACTATTATTTTTAAATACTCCAAAAGTCTTATTTTAAAGTACTTAAGGTAAGATAACAGAAGTACATTTTAAAAAATTCAATTAAAAGAACAAAATGGAGTCATTAGAATGAAGAGAATAGGCAGGTAGCTATCTGCAAGGCTGCCTACATTTTCTTATGTTGCCTGAAGAAGTGTCACGTATTACAAAGTGGATGGAGATCTGAGATATATGGCAAACAGTCTCTGTCATTTCTTACTTTTTCTTTGTCATACCACTCCTTGTGGACCTGGAGTATAAGTCCCAGTCCAGATACTAACTTGTGATGTGACTCTGAGTGAGTCACTTGGCCTCTTGGTTTCTGTTTCCTTCTCAATAAAATAAGGGCCCTGGCGTAGACGTTCTCTAAGGCGGTGCACCCCTGGGGGGCTCTGCAAGGGGTATGTAAAACTATATGAAGAACCAGAGCTAAGGCTAAAACTTTAATTATTTGAATTAGACTTATATAAACTATAATCTTGAAAGCACAAGTCACTTCACTAAATTCTTCAGTACATAATAAAGTAGCAAATATAACTTCTATAGATGGAATGTTTTGTGCATTTGTGCACTGCTATTTAAAAACCATATGCTGATACTGTTATGATTAATACAGATTAATTTGAAAGTTTTATTGGTTTTTGTCTCTCCTTAATCAATGGAATCAAACAGTAACTACTAGAATGTGAAGTTTTATGAACTTTTTCGATGTTAAAAGGAGGTCTGCTCACTTAAAAAGATTGGGATCCACTGTTCTTTAACTCTGATGTTCTTTCTTCTAAATGAGCCCTCTCAGCTCTAACATCCTATAGTTCAAGGTCTATTTGAGCCCTGACATTTTTTTGTTCTAACCTTCTCAGTTCTAAAATCTCTTCCAGTTCTAACATTTTATGATCCTATGATAGTATCAAACAAGTTCAAACAGTTCCATATCTATCTATCTATCTATCTATCTATCTATCTATCTATCTATCTATCTATCTATCTATCTATCCATCTATCTATCTATTTATCAGCAATGTGGTTTCCCAATATTCCAACTATGGAAGACAAAGACCTGACTGACTCCCTAAGTTAGAAAACCAAGTATGGGATGCTACTCAATCATGAAATGGCAACCCCAGTGAAAGACACTGAAAGGACTCTGCTCACTTGCCTTTACTTAGTGGGTCAGACTGAAATTCCTAATGAACTATGCTGAAAAACAGACAGAAGGTGGGCCTATAAGCTCTTGACATTATTACACACTCCGGTTAGAGGGAAAGAGCTGCTTTGCAACACATTAAACATATCCAAGGAAGAAAAGACATGGTGCTCATATATTCTCTTGGCACCCAGCACACACAGAGAGACAAGAGTGGGAGGAGGATATAAATAAAAGGATTGCCTTACTTGGGCTTTTTTCTTCAGCAAGGTCGCAGGCACACAGCAGGTCAGAATCAATTGAAATGGGCTTCTGCTTAATCCAGAACTTTGTGCTGGCCTTTTGATTAGTGACGGGGTCTATCTCCACTTTGTCTCCAGAGATACCTTTAAGTCAGAAGAGAGAGAGAAAAACCAATAGCAGCGGACTGTGTAAACATCACAGTAGCCATTTCATATTCTTTACGCATTGTAATTAATATAGCAGTAGTAGCAGTAATAGTTCACATTTACAGAGCCCCTGGATTTGGAGTCAGAAGACCTGGGTTCAAATCCCACTTCTACAGATGTGACCATGGGCAAGTTGCATCCCCTTTCTGGGTCTTAGTGTCCTTCTTCCAGCCTCCTTCCAGCTGGAATATTCCATTGACAGGTCTCCGTTCCTTCCAACTCTGATATACTAGGATTCTATAGTCTTTCCATTTATCAGTCTGGTTTTCTGAGGAGTGGCGCTGAGAACATCACTTATTTGTGTATGCTGCCTTAGACACAGCACTAGGTGTAAAACACCAGGGAATAATATGCAACAGAGCCTTTAGGGACAGAAGTGAAAAACGTTAATATTACCCCTTCAGATTTGATTTCCAAAGCTGTGTAAGGCAGGCTATACAGCAGTAGGGGATTAAAGGAGTAGGGAAAACGTGCACACTAGGGCTACAAAGCATCCTGAGATAATCACTGAAATTTATAGCAATCATTCTTCCAGTATCGCAAAGGAATATATACTCAGAGTGAAATATATGACCTATGCCGGGCTCTCTCTTTTTCTCACTCATTGAAAATTAAAGGATTTGTCTCCTGACGGAGTGAGACAAAACCTTCAGTGTACCTTCCAGAGTGGGACCCATATGGAGCCTTAAAGTAATTGCATTTTTCGGTCAGAGGATAAAGGTCAAGGTCAGTGTGGGGGAAAAAAAGGTAGAAGTAATTAAAATAATAAAATGGACATGCTGCAGCACAAAAGACAAATCATGCCAGCCTATTTCACGTGAGGGCTTTTGTTTGCAACACTTTAGAAGTCTAGGCGGGTCTGGAGTGAAGTGTGAGAAAACTTCATTTTCAACAATGAATCTAGTGTGAATGAATAAGAATGGCTTAATTAAAACATCAACCATCTTCTGACAGCAAATTTAGCCCAATACAAGTGAATACTGAAGATTCATATTCATACATTTCTATCTTCTTTCGTCATAAGCACCAAACTATCACTAGTCAAAGGCAGAAGACTTCCACTTGAAGAATTATAATAAAAGTGACTCCTGTGTTTTCTTTTCAATAAACACCACACTAATGGGTTAATGGCTGCTTAACCCTAGTTATGACCGTGGGGGGCTCCAGCAAAGGTGATCTATAAGGATTTCTAAATTAATTAGTCAAAAGCCAAGATTTGTCATTAGACCTATTTCAGATATGTTATATTTTAATTAGGCAGCACTTCATGAGTGCCAGTGATTCAGGAAGGAAAGGCCTCAATTTCAGGAGAGTAAAAATGGGCTGGAAGGCCAATGACATTATTTTTCACTTCAAACAGATGGCAACTCCCCAGTTTTCCTCTTTCTTCTTCTTTGGCTACTGACTGCTTAAGATCTGGGCCTTTTTCTGTGGTTCCCAGAAAGAAAAGCATTTAAGCTCTGTATGTTGATCATGACGTTTTTTTTTTATTTTTATTTTGACATTTATAAAAGTTGTGACACAAAGTGGTACAAAAATAAATGTAGGTACATCTTATGAGGAACTAAAAACCCTATGTCTCACATGCCTTTTTTGGGAGTATGGGAGAGATGGGGGAGGGCTAAAGAGAGTGAAAAAAAAAAGATCACTGGAGACATATTTTAAAATTTTTGTCCTATGGCCCTGCACCTCCTGAAGCTACAGTCAGTCAATATTGTTAATGTACCTTGTTAATTTGATAGGATTTGTCAGGTAACTCCACTGGAAAATTATATAAACCTGTTCCAGATGAACAGATGATAGTGACATGAATTAAAGTGATAGAACAATAGTAGAATATAAACTAGAAATGACATCCAAAGTGGCTGTTGATTTATTGCCATACTGAGTTTGGTTCTGGGCTTCCATGTATATTAGTGCTACAAATCTGGGTCCATTTAGCAGAGAGATGCTCGTACATACATCACTGGCTCCTGTTCCAAGCCAAGGTCACTCTCCGTTGCATCAATCTTTTCAACAGAGCCTACTTCACAAAGCCTCGAGTTTTCCCAGCCATCTCAGATGTACCACATTCTCCTTCTCTTTCATCTTTCTTTTATCATGTAAAGTACACTTTAACTTCTATTATTTTTATCTGCAAATTGTTACTGTAGAGTTCATCCATTATGTTCCGTATCGCAGCATCAACTGCCTTAGCTCCCACACCAGCACATGAATTCCTTCCCCAATGATGCCCCTTTGCAGCATTATTCTAGTAATAGTATGAATGACAATAATAATATATTTGAGGTTGAACGACACCATAGGAACATAGAGCTGAAGGGAAACTTTGAGAGATCATCTACTCCAACTATCATCCTAAAGATAAGAAAAAAGATGAGGCAAAAGAAGGGATGCAGCCAACATTCCCTGAGGAGTAACTATCAGGGCTAGGATTTGGGTCCAGGTATTCTGATTCCAAGGCTTTTTTTTTTTAAACTACTGAGGTCTTTTTCTGTTCCAAACACTATGATCTCTAGAATTTGTTGCATATTCTTTATCAATTTACAACATCCCTGTGATGTAGGTAGTCCAAGTAACATCAATCTCATTTTATAGATGAGGAAACTGAGGCTCAGACTTGCTCTGGGTGGCATAGTAGAAACATGCAAATAACATGTAACATATTTCCTGTGATCTTTTTCTTACACCACGTTGCATTTTCAATAGTCCACTGAGGCTCAGACTTGCTCTGGGGGGCACAGTAGAAACATGCAAATAACATGTAACATATTTCCTGTGATCTTCTTACACCATGCTGCATTTCCAACAGTCCACATCTATGACCTCACAGGATCTTTAACAATACTCCTGCTAAGGTAGGTTATGAGGGAAAATGAGGCTCATAAACATCAATTTAGCACTCACTGAATGGTAGTGTTAGAAGGGACTCTCCAGTCCACTTACTTTGTATATGAATAAACCGTACCCATAGAAGTTAACTGACTTATCCAAGGTCACACAAATAGTACCTGTTGCAGTAGACACTAAAGCTAACCTATGAATACTGGCTCCATTCTTTTTTCCACAATATCAAACCCTAAAAGCTGTGAAGAAATAGCTTTCTCTATTTTTACCTGAACATAAGAGACATAAAAGCATTTCATTTGAGACCAGCATGACGGTGCATGTCTCTAATTGCTGCCACAGGGAAGAAAGGGGCAGGTGTATTGCCTGAGCTCTGGAGTTGTGAACTTCAATGTGTTAAGCTGATCAGGTGTTCAGTACTAAGTCTGGCATCAATATGGTAAGTCCCTAGGGATGAACCAGGGGGCTTAAGGAGGGGTAAGATGACCTATGTCTGAGTGGCTGCTACACCTCCAGCGATATGGGGAGACCCAATCTCTTAAAAAAAAGAGAAAGAAAGAAAAAGAAAGTGTGTCAGTTCAGTTTTAAAATCTAAGAAAAAAAAATCCCCACTGGCTATTTGTTTTCCTATTTTAGAAATGTTGAATTTTAAGTTTCTGGCTGACTTGTAACCAGCAGGATCCCCTAACACTAAAGATTTAAATTTCTCTGATCTCCAAGCTTGCTGTCTAGAAGATAATGAATGACCTGTAAGCATTCAAATGCTGTGGAACCGCAATTAAAGAAACACTTGAGGTGAATCCTTTTGTGATGGTAACTGTACTGGATCTCTCTCAGAACCCTTCTACAGTTCTGACATTTTATGTTTTATGGTTCCTTCCTATTCTAAAGTCCCTCTGATCCCTAACATTCTATGATCTAGGGTTCTTTTTGACTTTGCAGACATCTAGTTCTATTGTTATTCAGAGTATTCCTATAGAAGTTTGGAGTTGGCTTTATTCTGTACTGTGAACTGGAAATGGGAGAGTGTTAAACATGAGTGCCCTGCCAAAGGTGGGTAAGGAAAGCTTATGGTCCTTACCGTACTGGGCAGGGTCAGCTCCTTTCCCTACCCAACAAGGTAGGCCATTTGTTTCCTGTAACAGCTCTCCTCCCCTAACCATTTATCTTTAGTCATCTGTCATGACCTTTTCAAGCTCTTACTCGTGACAGCTTCCAGATACAGTGAGTCAAACTTCACTGGAAGCAAAGTATCACACCAACTGTCAAGAACAGAAAACATTGCTCAACATTGTCCTCCATCAACACTAGTATATAAATCCTTCCTTAACAAGACAGCTAAAAATAAATGACAACAAAAAATAGGTACCCTGAAGTTCATCTCATTTTCACTGGAATGGAATATATGTTTTTCAAAGCTTTTAAAAGTTAAATCAAGTGCACATTTAGGTCCTAGGTTTGAATCTTGGTTTCTGCTTCTTGCCAAATGTGAGCCACGGGCAAATCCCTTCACATCTTTGCACCTCAGTTTCTTACTCTGTAAAATTATCTCTAAGATCTTTCCAGCTCTCAAGCCTGCCAATATTTATATAGTGTTTTATCATTTACAAAGCACTTTACACACAAGATTTCACTAGATTTTCACAGCCTTGAGTGACAGAACAAGCATTATTACCCAGAGCTAAATGGACCCAGGTGGCTCAGTGAACAGAGAGCTGGGCCTGGAGTCAGGATGATGTGAGTTCAAATCCAGCCTCAGACACTTACTACCTGTGTAACCTTGGGCAAGTCACTTAACCTCTGTTTGCCTTAATGCACTGAAGAAGGAAATGACAAACCACTACTGTATCTTTGACAAGGAAAATGGTCCATGGGGTCACAAAGAGTCAGAGGTTACTGAATGACTGAATGAAGACAAAAAGCAAGGCTCAGAGAAGTGAATGATGTGGCCAAATCATATAGCTAGTTGGTAGCAGCATTAGGACCTGAAACTGAATTTTTGGCAACTGTGCGTAGGGCTCTTTTCATCACTATTTCACAGTTGCCTACCAGATTCCATAGAAAGAAAATATGACCATTTGGAGTAGACA